GCAAACCATTTTTTTGTCATCATGCAGTAACACAAAATAAATATTGCATATAAAATATGGTTTATTGAACTTACATCTTTTTATTAATGATAAAAATATACATATATAATCTGATCTTTTTTTTATATTACCCCCGTAGGACTGAAGTACCCCATTTGAGAAACACTGATTAGAATAAACTGTACAGGTTATGATTGTTTTTAATGGTTTGATGATGTGAATCCAGACGCCTGCTCCACTTTATGATCTGGCCATGTTGGCTCTGGACTCTGAGGGGAGCGGCTGGACAGAAGAGGATGGTCCTAAAGAAGGCCTGGCTCAGTACATAGTGGACTTCCTGAAGAAGAAAACTGAGATGCTGCAGGACTACTTCTCCATGGAGATAGACCAGGTGAGAACAGGATGGCGTAGGTCTGTTCACTCTAAAATCTCATGTTCTTAAGCAACATTTTGCCTTTGTGTCTGTTATTACTCATGCTATAAAGTCTTGTGCATTATAGGAAGGAAATCTAACAGGGCTGCCGTTACTGCTGGACAAGTACACCCCTGTCATGGAGGGTCTCCCCCTGTTCATCCTGCGTCTGGCCACTGAGGTGAACGTCTTGAAGGTTTCTCATTTATGACGAGATTGTAGAAAACAAACTGCGTCTAAAAGCTTGTGCTTGGCGCTGTCGTGCAGGTGAACTGGGACAATGAAAAGGAGTGCTTCAGAGACTTCAGCAAGGAGTGCAGCACGTTTTACTCCATCAGGAAGGAGTACATCCTGGAGGCCGAGCCGGGAGAGGAGCAGGTACGAAGGAACTTCCTTCGCTTTGCAGTAACATTAAAGACAAAGAACCGAACTGACAAGTGTGATGTGTAATTCTTGTTTCAGGACGCTGAGGCGAACTCGTGGCGTTGGAGAGTTGAGCACATCATCTTCAAAGCTTTCCGAACCCTCTTCAGTCCTCCGAAGAACTTCAGCGAGGACGGCACCGTGCTGCAGATCGCCAACTTACCTGATCTCTATAAAGTGTTCGAGAGGTGCTGATCATCACATCGGACTACATTCAACCATACATGCTGCTCCTTTATACTTGTAACATTTGTGCTGTAAATAAACTTTGTATGAAACTTCAGATTGTTTTTTTTATGAGTGGAAAAACCATATTCCATGAGGTATAAAAGTCTGTCTGTCACAGGAAATCCTCATCCCTCGCAGCCTATTTAAAACGTGCCAAGCCTTCACATGGTTTTCTAAAAGTAAGACTTGGGATGTGCAGCCAGGAAAATTAGAATCAGGTCATGAGTCCCAAAACGACATCTAAAATGTGCCAGCACACGAGCCTGACTTATTACAGCCTGTCAGTCAGAGACATCTGTGCAGCTTGGGGGGATCAGAGCTCAGCGTGAAGGAAGTCTGCCCAAATATCTTACGGACAATTACAATTAACACCTGTATAAACCGGGGAATTGAGTGAGTGAGGGAAACCTGCAGAACGGTTTCCATGATTTATGCTGTAGCGTAAAGGTTCCCAACTGTCTCCAGCATCTCGTCTTTATTAAACCAAACCATTCAGAATAAAAAAAAGTGAAGTCACACAGAGAAAATAAACAATGTACACACCTCATATATGGATTCCAAACAGTAGAAAATGGCAAAACTTACATGAAAAAAGGAAAACCTTGTATACACAGTTCTGTAAATTACACATTTATTTTCAAGAAATCTTTTAAATATTTGAAAAATTTCAATGAAACCGCAGCAGACACTTGGTTCTACATATTTTCAAATAATGACTGCACCTTTTTTTTTTTTTTAAATACATCGTTCTGTACCTGTTAAAACAATTACTGTTTCATTGAGCGGTGCAGACCCCTCCAGTCTCGTAGTGTGAAAAGGCACTTCACTGTGTGAGGGGAAGCTGGGAAGGTGCGGGGCCGGAGCAGCCGTGAGGGTTGAATAGTTAAAAGCAACATTATACTCATTCATGCAACTTATCAAAAAACAAAACAAAAAAACAAAAAACAAAGTACAGCCAAGCACCCAACCAGAGAGAAATAAAATCTCGTGGATAACATGATGTAGTACAAAGCTCTGAAAAATTAAGTAGTGACTAGAGAAATTTCCTCAGATGTATCTCCCAGCAACTTTATAGTTTTATTAGTTAAGTTTCTGAGTTATTCCTCCAAAAAAAAAAAAACCTCAATGCTTCCAGGTTTTAAAAAAAGACACACAGTTCAGCTTTTTGCCTGTGCTACATTTTTTAAAGTGTTTTTTGGTTAGCTACAAATCTTAAAGTGTTACAGCTAAAAATGGAAATGTGCTCCAGACACAATATGGCAGTCAGAGGTCAGAGGTGCGAGTTTAAGGGCTTCTGTGGTGATGCTGCCTTGCCTCACTGCTGCGACAGAAGGGCGTTCCTGTTGGCCTTCATCTTCTCGAGGCGCTTTACTAGGTGGTTGTTGGTCATCTCCATTTCCTCGATCTTATCTAGAGATGTGCGCAGCTGTGGAGGGGGGGACAGAGGGGAGACATTAGCATTCAGCCTGTTGATGTTATTATTATATTATAGATTAAGTGTGTGTCTTTACCTCTCTTTGAAGTTTCCGTTTTTCTGCTTTAAGTTCGTCTTCTACTTTCTCCGCGTTGTCTGCTGATGCCTTGTACCTGGACACTTGCCCTTCAAGTCTGTTAATCTGGAGAACGGACACAAAAAGAGAACAATTTGGTGACTTGAAGCCTTAAAACTTGTGAATATTTCTATAAATAAATGTGAACTTCTTTTTCACTTACATTTTGTTCCATTGTACCCATTTCCTGCTCTGCCTTAGAAAGCTTGAACTTGTATTCACTAATCTGTCTGTTGGCATCTCCTACAGAGACAAACGGAAACCAGTGAGTTTGAAAACAAAAGATGTTTATAATATTTCATGTATGTGCTTATACAAAATTATAAAGCCAACTTACTCTGCATCTCAATAAAGTGTAGGTCTGTACCGTTCTCCATCCTCTCCCCGTCTGTGAACGCACTGTCCATCTTTGAGTGTTTCTGCCTCTCCTCCTCCAGCTGATTCTTCAGCTTCCTGATCTGAGCCAACAGTTCATCTTTCTCCTCTGCCAACTTCCGTAGCCTGACATCTACAAAACAGCAGGAAAACACATTAAACCGAAGCAGTTCATCATAACAGGTGTGCAGAGGAACTGTGTGCGCTGTGATAGCAGGAGGGAATCGTGTGCAGCGGGTTAGAGTCCTGTTTCTTATTACAAGCGCTGGTGCTCGTAAATACACCTCATCAGATCCATTTATTTAGCATCCATATAAACAGTTTATTTAGAGCCTTTAATCAAAACAACTTCTTTAAGTAAACATGTAGCAGTGCTGTTCTATGGGACAGACATAATGTCCCTGACTCACCCAGTGGGCCCTCTCCTGCAGACTCCAGCACCTGGGCGGCCTCCTGGGAGACCACAGTGATCCCTGAGGACTGAGGCTCGTGGTTGACATCTCCGTTTGGCGTGCCGTCCGGGATAATGACCAGCCCATGTTTCTGTGGTGAGAGCACACACACATTGCTTAGGACCGGCTCCACTAGTGTAGCGAGGGTATGCACTGACGTTACTTTCTCATGACGCCAGCCGAACCAACGGCTGGCTGAATGGATGCGGCTTTCATACCAAAAAGTAAACACAAATCTTACAAAAGGTAAAGGCCTCGCAGTGATCTGTACGGCATACTGAACAGTCAGTGTTCTGTGGATGTTGCCAGATAAGAAAATGTAATCATCATTGTTCCTAGTTTGATCACTGATTGACTATAGAGACTTTATCTTCAAACCTAAAAATAAAAAAGGGGAAATCCTCTTAAATTGGGGGTCTGTGGTCTATTTTGTCTATTTTCTGTAGTCCATATCAGTGCAACTTAAAAGTGACGTACATATGTCTGCAGTATGTGGCTCAACACTGGGCCCCCAACATTGCATTAACCAAACCCTGAAGGCACAAACTAAACACTATGTGTCAGGATTTGCCTGAACAAAATAATAGGAACTTTGAATAGGTTTGTAAAAACACTTTCAATATATTAGCAGCCTCACTTTCAGTAAACAAAGCGCTGCCTTATTTCACAATGCTTCTTTCAGCAGTCGATAAAAACTTACATTCTTTCTGACTCTGTTGTACAATCACTTGCCCAACCGCATTCTCCGTTTCTTTTGAGATGTGACTCAACAGTAGTAGACACTGACTGCGGGACATTACCGTGGTGACGTCCATGTACATTGACATTACGTGCATACCCTCTATGAACAACTAATACACGAGTAATGCGATATAGTGCGCTGTATCCATTGTGCAGTACAGAATAACATGTGCCAAGTGAGTTATGCAGAACCAGCAGGTAGTGAAAACGTTGATGAGAAAATAAAATGGAAAGAAAAACAAA